TTCTACTTACGTTTGTCGCTTTTTATTACAAAATAGTATTAGGTTTAAGCTGATTCAAGGTACTTCTCATAGTATGGATATTTCGAAAGTAAATAAACGCCAAGGTCTTGATACGATAAGTGTTATTAAACATTACTCAAACAAAATAAACATGAGTATTATTTTAAATATTATTTACAATAACAATGCATTACACGTCATCGAAATATCAAATGTCATAACCAACTGACAAAGAGGGACTGACTGAGATTTACACGCGGTTTTATGTATGGGTTTGTATGTAATAGCTTAGTGTCTAAACGTCTGAACAGATTTTGACGAGTGAGGTGAAATTAGATTCGCTTTCTTTTCGGGAATGTCATAGGATATGACAATAAAATACATACAATGAACGCGAAGAGGCAAAATCTGAAAAACAGCGAACCAACATAGTTCTCCGGCACGCACGTATTGTGTGAATTTATGGTAGATATTACGTATGAGAAAGTGTATGTGATACCAAAAATTCTCAGTACATTGTTTGTTTTTTAGTTATATTAAAAAGAAAAATGTGTAAGATTTTTTTATGACTTAATCGTGTTTGTGTCCGGTGTTCGGTTCCGATCCATTCATGCCGCAACCTACTTTACTTTAACATAGATATCGAATGTAAAACTTATAGCACTGTAATAAGGTTGTATTTATCTTGTAGTGGTGAGTTTCACAATTTATTGTATAATAGTAATATTGCTTCACAGCTGACCGGTACTGGTCGAAGCCGCGTAGAGCCGCGCTATGTGTTGCGTAATTAACTGCCCTCTTTACTTTAGTGGGTTGAAGTTTTTTAATTATTATCATTGATGAGCATTTAATAATGAACTAGCTTTTGCCCGCGATTACGTTCTGGAATTAAAAAAAAAGTTAGTAGCCTGTGTTCTGCCAGACTTTCCTCTATATCTATGACTCCTAGGTCCGTTCAGTATTTTGGTTACAAACTCTAACGAACATCAATCTAAACTTTCGCATTTATAATTTTAGTAAGAATCGTAGTTTACCGTAACTTCGTTTTTGTGGTTTTGAAAAGAAAATCAAATTTTCTGTCAACATTAAAAAGCTACGTTTCAATGAAAAACATATGCTATATTTTTTATTCCACGCGAACGAAGTCGAGAGCAACAGTTAGTGAGTCATAGTAATATTATAAAGCGGAAAGATTTGTATTTTGTACTGTGTGTGTGTACTGAAATAATTAACTATTGGGCCGATTTAAAAAATCTTTCACCGTTAGAAAGGTAACATATCTGTGATTAACATAGGCTATATTTTTTTTATTTCACGCGGACAAAGTCGCGAGCAACAGCTAGTCTTTAATAAATAATTTTAAGTTTTCGCTTCCAAAACAACATATCCTGTCTACTCTGAGTCAAATTACAAAAAAGTACATTTAATTTTACACCTTATGTCTTAAAGAATAAGTGTTAATCTGGCGTGTGGTTGTTTCACAATGGGACAGTAGACATGAATGTGTGAATAAAAGCACAATCGACAGTTAATGTTAATTGAGTGCGTGTTGACAATGCTGTCTTCCCGTGCAAGTCGTCGCGGAGTCGCACGGCATACTTACAGCATTTGCTTTATGTAACCTATGTATTGAGCTGTTCCCGTGCGGCTTCCACATGAAATTATAAAAACTTTATTTTACTGTTTACATTTGTCAAATTTGTAAAATCTGTAGAGATCAGTGGTAGAGCCCGTTTTAACATCTTCTCACGAATATGCCGGCTCGCCCGGTGTACCACGAACACAGAAACAAGCGTCAAGTTGGAGAAATTCCGCGTTTCGTCTGATGAGTGTGGTGCCGAAGACTCAATTTTAGTCCCTTTCCCGCTCCACCTTTTTCTTATAAGAAAAGGATTGGATGAGAAAGTGGATTTACCGGTGGAGGAGACGCATAGAAAGGAGAAATATCCTCTCTATGTGCGTCTCCTTCGTCGATGTAGGTTAGGCGACGCATCCGCAATTACGGATGTCTATGGGCAGTCGCTTTGCCATTTTGGTGGATTTGCCACCTTATTGTATAAAAAAAGGATGTTAAGTTATAACACCGCCAGAATACCCGACTGTACAAGGTAATGATAAAGAATAATTCCGCTGAGCAGTCAAACCACAATACGTGCTGTTTCCACTGTGAGTCAGATATTGTAAGGAAGTGCTGTTTGCACTTTCATTGAATCACGTTACAATGAAATTCCACTTCTATGACACAATGTAATTACATTTAAATATTATGTTTTATTACAATTGTTATTGAGAAAGTTTGGATTATGTTTATTACCTACTTGCTGTTCCCGTGCGGCTTCATCCGCAAGAAATTAGAACAAATTTATTTTATTGTTTACATTTCTCAAATTCTCAATTGCAAATCTCAAAATTATCATAATAACCTTGTTTAGGTTATTATGGCATTATGTCATGCCTTAATGTTGACAGCTTGTAGCTTATGGTCCTTTTCCCTCATGACGTTTTTTCCCAATTTATTTACCCCCTAGGTTTAATAGTGTAAAATTTTATAGCCTAAAGCGTGTCGTAAGTGTAGGGTTTTTTTTTAAGAAAGGATTATTCAAAAATATGCCCTGATTACTGACATCCTACGATACGAAATAGTGTGTGTTTACGGTTTATTATATTAGTATAGATAGATAACATAACGGCTAAACGGTTTCGAATGAAATCTCATTTCTTACCAATGTACATTTTATAAATGTGAATGTTTGGATGTTTCTTACTACGTAATTAAGGAACGGCTTAACAAATCTCGGTGATTTTTTTCACAGAACATAATCTGTAAAAACACATAGGTCTTTAATTTATTTTTAATTCCGTGCAGACGGAGTGGCGGGAAACAGCTAGTCAAAAATATAGATAAAAAACACAATAGTAAATGAAAAAAACAAACGAAACATTGAAATCCAAAAACACAGTCTTCGGTTTTACTCAATAACAAAAGAAAATCGCATATTCACCTCATCGTCATACAATACCGTTAACAGAGTAATTAATTAGTTTAACTAGAAGTGTGTTGAACCATTCTTATAACTGTATTTGTAACGCCCGAGCTGATTCTATAGAAACAAGTAAGTTGCAAACAAGTAAGAAACAAACCCAAAATTAGTAAACTACAAGACACTAAAAATCCGATTTATGATGACTTTCCCAGATAAATATACTCTTAAAATGCATTTCCGATTTACGTAACTTGAGTTTTACGCCTTGTTTAACCTAACACTAAAGAATCACTAGGTAATGATATGAATGGAAACTACAGCAACCCAGCATTACATGCTTTTAAAGTCCGCATTCGTTTGCAATAAAATCTACTAACATGTTATAAACTTGGGCAAAATATATCCCGGGTAATTCGTTGCATACAATCCTGAGTTCACCTAGATATATGTGACAGTTTCGCCACAATCGAAACGCTTGACCGTGAGTGATATGTCAAAACGGACGCACAGAGAATACAAATCGCTAACGTCCCTTGAATTTAAAACAAAATGGCGACGCACAATGAAATTCCACGCGTGTTTGAGCACAATGGACACATCGCAATCTTAATGAATTGAAATTAGAATTAAACTAGTGTATAAATTATATTTAATGGAGGTTAATGTATATTTTCCTCAATTAATGTTTTATCTCTTCCGAGACAATTAACTGGAACAAGATATAGTAAATATTATTCTGTAAGAAAACTTATGTCATATGTTTGTTCTAGCTCTTACCTTTAACACCCTAAGAGTAAAAAAAAAAACTCAGTAACCAGACTTTATCATCTGTGACAAATTTCATTGAGATCCGTACATGTTTACATTCAAACACACTCAAAACTTTACCCTTCTTAACCTCTCTGTCAGGGAAAATAGCGATTGAAGATAATGTTAGCAATATAAGAAAATGAAAACGCGGTATTATCTATACTTCTATACCAATATAATTAAGCGCAAATATACACTACTTCGTGGAATATGATGTCAGCAATCACAGCATATTTTTGAATAAATCCTTCTTTAATAAAAAGCCCTACACTTACGTCTCTCTTTAGGCTTTATATTTTTACATTATTAAACTTGGGGGGGTAAATATTTGGAAAAAACTGTATGTGTTAAAGGGACCATTAACTACAAGCTGCCAACATTAAGGATTATTATGGTAACGGTAATTTTGATATATGCAATTGAGAATTTGACAAATGCAAACAATAATATAAAGTTTTTATAATTTCATGCGGATGAAGCCGCACGGGAACTGCTAGTTATTTTCTAAAGTTGAATTTAATTCAAATAATTTTAATTTACATATTTAACTGGCTGACGATATTATTCTATGAATTTTGCAACATTTGTGTTAATGATATAAATGTTTTTGTTTTTACTAAGTCTATTCTATTCTATTTCATGTTTATGGTTCTCCCACGGCGGATTGGGCCAGTGTCAAGTGTTTGTGGTTTTATTCTAATTTGGGAGAAACTGGCAACAAAACTCTCTTTTACTAAGTCTATGACACAGTCGATTTCCTAACTAATATATCTTTGATTTAATACATTCTTTTGTACTTGATGCAATAAGGTTGTATGACAAACATCAATAAATCACGATTGTTCAAATAATTTTATTCACACATTACGGCGAGCATGCAGTCTGTGACGTCACCAAGATGGCGGTCGAATGTATGCTGTCCTTTACTTTGTTAATAAATGAGATATAATTTAGTGTTTTCATAGCATTTTGTTAGTTTTTTCTTTCATGAGAATGTTTAATCTTTGTTATAAAAAGATCATGACTTATTGCAGTAGTGTAGACAGTTATGTAGATAACCTAAAATTCAGATATTTTTCAAATGACATGAAATAAACATGAATTTTATGAGAAAGTCTGGGCATAGAGCATTAAAGCATGTATGATAGGATAATTGTTTTATAACTGTTATGGTAATTGTACTAAATTTATTTTTTTTTTTTACAGAGAAACCTCGCCTCCGTCGCCGATGGGCGACGAGAAGGAGTCCAAAATGAGCCAGATACAATTCTCACCGCCATTAGACAAACAGGAAAGCACGGTATGGTATATTTTACTATATTTGTATGCATTAATCTCAGTTACTATAAAGCCGATTTAAAAATTTCTTTTTACTTTTAATAGACCAGTTATTGATGAATGTTTTAAGATATTAAACATCACGCTATTATCATTAGGGGCTGATTAAAATGAAAAAAAGATGATGAAAATTCATGCCGTTTAGAAATTGCCATTTATTTAATGAACCAAATACGAATATTACATGGTAAATCATTGCATAAACATCCTCAATCAGAAGAAATTTCCCTTTGTGTCAGATTTGTTGACAATCTTGGAAATGAACATGCGATAAACGTTATTTCAAGCGTAGTACAAAGATGCTGTGTTTTACTTAGAAATATTCAATCGAGCTATTCTATACGCAGAACATAAGTAAAAAGTGTTTTGTTGGGCGTCGCTAGAGGGCGTTGTGTAGCTGTCTCAAAGATTGAAAAAGATATCTGTTTATTTTATTAAATATTCGTCTGCTTGAAATAAAAAAAAAACAGCCTGTCACTCAAAGATAAATTACCTTTCTAATGGTGAAAGATTTTTTTGAACCGGCCCAGTAGTTTTTAAGTTATTTCAATACATAAAAAAATACAAATCTTTTTTATATTAGTATAGACCAGTTTTATTGTAACTTCGACTGAGTGAAATTAGAAATATTTCTCGTATTAAATAAAGCCTCTATTTAGTTTCTAATAGAAAAGGAATTTTTGAAATCGGTGCAGTATTGTTAAGTTTATTCATCCAAATACGTTTTTATCTTGTTATTACAATGTTCTACGATTAACTTAATGGGTGTAATAGATTAAAAAGGTTATTGTAGTTTTTTGTTATTACATTAAGTTATGTAAGTAACATTACTTGTATATATTAAAACCTTTGTACCCTCTCTGAAGGTTTAATTACGTTATATATGTTACTATTATTAAGTACATTCCTGTAACTTTAGGGGTAGAATATATTTTTATCTCTCGGGTTTTAGAGAGGTACAATCGGGGAATCAAACGGTGTTCCACTTTAAAAGATCCAGTCATTTGAACGGTGCGCATACATTAAGACGACGCGGTTCAATAACCAATAGGAGGCGTTAAATACGAGTATGTCAGTACGAAAAAAGGTCTGTTAGTTCATTTGATAACCGTTTCGTCCTTTACGTAATCGATTATCACTTGTTTCTTCGTAAGAGGCGAAGTCTAGTTGTATAGAACGTGGCAATTTAAACTGGAATACCGCTGATCTCCGCGACTGTACAAGAACATATCCTCTCTTTCATTCTCTTTGATAAAACAAAGACAACATTATCTATCTATCATGTACGTTAACAGTACTTATTGTGTGTAGGTATGGCAAAAACGACAGCAAGCGGTGTGCGTGCGGCACGCATTCAAACACTACGGCTCCAATAAGCGGCCCAACCACGTCCTCAGCAACCTTAACATGACAGTCGCTAAAGGCACAATGTAAGTATACCTTTATTAAATTAACTGTTGAAAAGCCTACATCTGACTATATTGTATCTCTGTTCCAAATTTCATCCAAACCAGTTAAGCTGTTCAGGAGTTTTAGATATCTACATATTCTTATTGATTCACATATAAGTAACACTTAATATAAGAAATTCTAACGTCATCTAAAAGCTGCCCAAGACGGCAAGTTTCTCGCATAAATTATCTATTTCATTAGAACTTTCTGTAGTCTTAAATAAATCAGATAAATAACGTTATTAAGACAATAAAGGAAATGTCTCAGGAAGGCCCTATAATGGCTTCGCATTTATTCGCTTTTGGTTGATTTATTAAAGCCCGCTTTATCTGTACGATCGGACTGTTCGGATAAAACTGGGCGTGTGAAGCGAGCTTTATAAATATAACTAGTCAAATACCAATCTAAGGACTTGGTTGACCAGGTATGGGCAACCTTTGACATGTTGAGGGCCAAATTTAGCGTGCAAATACGTTCGCGGGCCGCGATCAAAGGATATGATGTTTGCCGCCTCACTGGCACTATCTTTATATAAGTGTACCAATTGCGTTTTTTCAATTTCTTAAAAATGACTCGCATGCCGGATCATATCTTACAGAGGACCGGGTGCGTCTCGCGAGCCAGCTGTTACCCATATATGTGAAAGACCTCTAAGTTTGAGTATAGTGTTTTTGCATTATTTTACCCATTTATTGGCTCGAAGGACCACCTATTAGTAGGAAGGGCTCTGGCAAGTTGCCAACACAAGGGCAAACAAAAGATTGTTAACCTCACAATAATCAACCCATTGTCTTACTTATTTGGGTCAAAACATACTTTAGTATGCAATGTATACTGTCTTGTAATTACAAACTGATTTCCTATACGTTATCGAGTATTGTGACGTCATAATGCTGTTTAAGAAAGACTTGTCTGTATTTCAAACTAACTTTAGCTTGTGACTTTGTCTGCGTTAAATTGAAAAGAAACAAAAGTAAGCAGCCTATGTGTGTCCAAACTATCCTCTACATCTATGTCAAATTTAATCGAGATTCGTTCAGAGGTTTAGGCTACAAACTCTAACAAACATCCTTCCATATAAATTTTCGCATTTATAATCATATACTTCAAACTAATATTATAAATGCGAAAGTTTAGATGGATGGTTATTAGAGTTTGTAGCCTAAACGGCTGAACGGATTTCTATGAAAATTAGTACAGATGTAGAGGATATTCTGGAAGAACTCATAGGGTGCATACTTTTGTTTCTTTTTAATTCCACGCTTACGGAGTCGCGGGCGAAAGCTAGTTTTAGTATAAAGTTAGTCTACAGTAAAAATACATCTGTTAAGGGTCGTTGTATTATTTAAACTTAAATACCAAATATATCAGTCGCTTGGTATTTAAGTGCGTGATATAAATACACGTGTATGTAATAAAAGTAGTGATTTACGATTGTTCATATGAACACATCACGACAAAGTCTTCCACGTATCGAAGTGATACGTGACATTACAATGATTATTTAGCACAATTATTAGTAAACTGGAATTTCAAATATATGAAAAACTAGCTGTTCCCGTGCGGCTTCATCCGCATGAAATTATGAAAATTTTATTTCATTGTTTACATGTGTCAAATTATCAATTGCAAATGTCAAAACGACATGACATGATGGCAAATCATGGCAACCTTGGTTTCTTGATGTTGGCAGCAACTTATGGTCCCTTTCCACATTAAGGTGTTTGTCCAAAATATTTACCCCTAAATTTAATGGCGTGAAAGTATATAGCCTAAAGCGTGACGTAGGTGTAGGGCTTTTTATTAAAAAAAGAATTATTCAAAAATATGCTATAATTGTTGACATCTTAAGCAACAAAGAAGTGTGTGTTTACTCTTTATTATAATAGTATAGATGAATTGTCTTAGTGTTTGTTTTCTATTCTTACTATTCGGAACGTGCACACCTTTGATTAAGCTATCGCACAACTGTTGTGCGATTGTCGATTGTTTCGCAGCATCAACTGTTTAGTTGCACAACTAAATATCAAGTAAAGTGAGCGATATAAGCTGAAAGGAATCAAAGCGTGACTAAATAATTGCTCGATAGTTTAGTGAGCTGTCTCTGATTTTTTTTATATATTATGATGCCAAACGAGCAAGTGGCCTCTTGAATATGCCTAAATGGCGAAGCGACTGCCCATAGACATCCGCAATTGCAGATGCGTTACCTACCGACTCGAGGGAAGAGGAGACGCACATAAACAGAATATTTCTCCTCTCTACACGTCTCCTACACCGTCAAATCCACTTTTCCTTCCCATCCTTTAAGCAAAAGGTGGAATAGTAAAATTCACCTAAGAGATAATAATTAACATTTAACATTCTATAGGAACTTTATGTTTACTTAAATGTCTTATGTGGCAATGTGTTCGCGTGTGTACCAAGTTGCACTCAAAGTAAACGATAAGTTACGTTTACGTAATAGGTCGATGTCAATGAAAGTTCAAGTTACACGTTAATAAATAACTTGTGTGGCAATACGGAAATTCGTTGTCTTATCTTCACCTTATGCCAAAATGTTTTGTATATGTTAATTTTATTTTGAATTGTATCAAAACGGGTTAATCTATCTATTCCCCTCTGAAGTAACCCCGTGGGTGATAAATGTCTAAGTTTACTTCTTAAAAAAATTGTTATTGAAGGAAAAAACCCCATCATTCCGAGCCGTGAGTTGTGGTACTTAAGTTAGGAATTAAAAAAACTAATAGTTTTTTTTGTAATTATTACTGCGTCTGTTCTTGTAAGAGCTAGCGTGAATTAACTAAAATGGAATGTAAATGTTATAATTTCGACATCGTGAAACAGACCGTTTCTTGTTACATTAGGGTTGTCAAATTATTTAATTAATTTTATTATTTAATGAAAAAATAACTTAACATCAACTATAATCTAGAACTTCGGAAAGTAAATTGAAATAACACATAATTCTGTAAAAAAAAATTGAAAGCTGAAGGAACGACAGACTAGAGTAAACTTACATTCTTATAATATGTTTATATTTTTAATCACATTTCATACTTCTTTATTAATACTTACTTTAAACTTGGCACAGTTATAGAATAACTACAATTTGAAAGAGCACATCGAATACTTACAAAGTTTTCCTAATTCCGCACGAACGGAGTCACGGGCCAAATCTAGCTATCACTTGCTTTATGCCAACCCTATTCAATTTATAAGATAAGTGAGTCAGAGATTCGCTCGATTTTATAGTGAAAGTTACTTCTGCACACTCTCCAAGATTATCGTCTTTGAATCCCAAATGGTAGCTGTTAGTTTTTAAACAACTAGTAATTACTAATAAAAAAATTGCTTAATTAATAAGTAAACAAAGAACGACTGCGTTCCGTCGATACTTCAGGAAAGAATCAGAATTTCCTCGCAACGTCTTGTATTAATTCCACATACCAGTAAAACGTAGTAGGTCGCATTTCATCAAGAGGACATACCAGTTACTGGTGGCTTGCGTACATGCCAATCAAAATGGACAATAGTTTGCATGCCATGAGACAAGAGGATATGAGTCAAACAAACCTCGGAACCTCATCGACCGATCTCTCAATTTACATGCTTACTTCTGCCAATTTACTACAGTACAAAATCTTTGTGTGTCTGTGTGTCTTTGGGCTTAGGTAACTTCTTTTCATAAAACCCATTGCTGGTTTTCTTCCTTTTCTTATGGAGAAAAGGTGGAATGGCATTGTTTTTAAAATAGTGATGTAAAGTCATACAAAAATATACAATCAGATGAACAATAACAATCAAAATTTCAAATGATGATGAATCTCTCGTCATAAATTAGATCATCTTTTATATTTGTGTGTTTACTAAACAATCGCATTCATATTTATAGAATCAAAACAATATGTTTATATTTTTACATCAGTCTGATACCATAGCAACTAGTGATTCAAATAAAATTGATGATCTGTAGATCGGATCACAGTTCGCATGTGAGATGATCAGTTAACCAAGTCATAATTCAACTCAATTTATGGTTGTACAAAGTTATGATCTGCTAGACACTAAACAGATCGAGGCTTGTCACATACGTTGTTGAGCCATCAATTTAAACGTTGAGCTGTAGCTCAAAAGTTCTGTGTGAGCTGAACTGAACCCGTTCAGAACTCTCACACAGATCTATCAACAAAGGTTAATTAATTTTTACTAATATGCGGTTTTTATAATTATTGCCACGAAACTTTTGTTTTTGTATTATAAAGTGGTCAATGAGCAAAGTGGCTATCTAAATTCGCCATGGCGAAGCAACCGCTGTCCATAGACATCCGCAATTGCAGATGCGTCGCCTACCCTTAATCGAAGGAGGTAACGCACATAAAGGGGATATTTCCCCTTCCTATGCGTCTCCTCCACCGTTAAATCCGCTTTCCCTTAATACTTTCCTTGTAAGAAAAAGATGGCAAGGGAAATGGACTTTAATTAGACCTCCATCCATCCTCATCCATCATCCATCTGGATAAAAACAGAGATATAATAGATTATTTAGTAAATTAAATACGTATGTTTATATTTTAACAGTTATGGATTACTGGGCGCATCAGGCTGCGGCAAGACTACACTACTGTCATGCATCGTGGGCAGACGCAAACTGAACAGCGGGGAGATATGGGTCCTGGGTGGCAAGCCTGGCACTAAAGGTACAGTACAATTACATATATGAAAATAATAACAACTTTTATTTAGATGCTATCTGTTGTCGCGCGGCTTTATCCGCATGGAATTATAAAAACTTTATTTTATAAGTATCTGGGTGCGCGGCAGTGGCCGAGGAGAGCACAGCCAAACAATATTTTCTCGAATTTTATTTTAAATATAGCGAGGGCGTATTGATTTCGCTTGATCATGCAACATCTTTGCAGTTAAATTACATCTTCCTTCATAGATCATAGAAAGTAAAAGAGTTTTCGAAATTTACTTGCGAATTTTAAAGCAATGGAAGTGTTTTGTTCTTCGGGTTTGGTTTTGGAACACAGTATAAATTTGTGTAACTTTTTCAGGGTCAGGAGTGCCGGGTAAACGCGTCGGCTACATGCCTCAGGAGATCGCGCTCTACGGAGAGTTCACCATCAAGGAGACGATGATGTATTTCGGATGGATCTTCGGTATGGAGACGCGTGAGATCTCTGAACGTCTACGGTTCCTGTTAGACTTCCTAGATCTACCCAGCGAGAGCCGTATGGTTAAGAACTTGAGGTAAACCTATATAATGTAACTAGCTGTTTTTAAATTAGATATATAGCCTCTGTTACTGATAACATAGCTTTTTAATGGTGAAAGAATTTTTGAACTCAGTGCAGTAGTTTTTGATTTATTTCAATACGTACAAAAATACAGAAATACAAATCTTTCCTCTTTATAATATTTGTATAGATTAGTTTCATACTGATATATTCCAACTGCAAAATCTTATTAGTTTGTCCAGAAATATAAAAACTCTGGTTATGTGTTGTACTCGTATATACACGGAACAAAGTTTGTTTTAAAAAGTAATGTAATAAAGAAGCGCCCCCTGGCGGGTATTTTTGGACGGTTAGACTATACAAAACGTTCTACTCTTATTGTACATTTCACATGTATTTTCAATATTGAAATTCCATGGAAATAACATAGATTCCAGTAAAATACTATAATGTGGATAATTTCAGCTTAGTTTAATACGAAAAAGATTTTTCTGAAAATGTTTTCTGATTAACAAATATCAGATGCATACATTTTTCTTTCAGTAAGACTCTCGACCAAATACTGAAACGATAATTAAATATGTAACAGTATTTATGTAAAAGATGTCTGACAGATTGGAAGAGATACGCAAATAGTGTGATATTCGTTTCAGAATAAGGCCGTCTGTCTAAATAGAAATTTGTAACGTATATCAGATACCGGTTGTAATTCGTAAACAAGTAATTTCCCGAAACAAACCAGAAATATCGATTCGATAACAATCGATCCAATTACTTTAAATAAGGAAATTGACATCCGTGCGTTGTAAAGAAGTATCATTTTACTCTGGGAATATTTCCTGTAAAACAACTCTTAATTACGTGTTAACACGAAGTTAAAAAACATATTAAGGGCCTGTCGTATAATTGTAAATTGTCTGATAACAATCGAACGTGTAAAATTGATGGAAATATCGGATTTTGTTACCTTATCTGACAGTGACGTCATTGTTAAGCTATCTGAGCTTCTATCATCCAGTGGTACAGGTCCCAGTTCTTGGAAATATAAAATTTGAAGGATATTATTTTTATTAATATGTGTATTATTTTTAACGTATTAGAGTTCAAAATTGAAAAACAGTTGCATTAACGAAGAAGTTGCATGGTCTGTATGTGACAACTGCAGAAAATGGATACAAAAATATATTTCTGTCTCTGTTTAGAATTATCTTAAAGGACATGTTCTTATACAACTCTGGTAGAAATGTCACTGTATCTTAAGCTATTACATAATAACAACTACATTAAAACACTTATTAAATAAATAACAGCGTTTTAAAGGCCACTCTTAAACTCGAAATTATAATAAAACTAGCTGTTCCCATGCGACTTCATCCGCACAAAATTATAAAAATTTCATTTTATTTTTCACATTTATCAAATTATTAAATGCAAATGTCAAAATGACATGACATGATGTCAAACCATGGCAACCTTGCTTCCTTGATGTTGGCAACAACTTATGGTCTCTTTCCCACATTAGGGTTTTTATCCAAAATATTTACCCCTAAGTTTAACGGCCGGCGTGACAATATATAGCCTAAAGCGCGACGTAAGTGTAGGGCTTTTTATTAAAAAAGGAGTTATTCGAAAATATGCTGTATTTGCTGACATCTTAGGCAACAAAGAAGTGTGTGTTTACGCTTTATTATAATAGTATAGATTATAACATCTGATAGATTGTAAGATCGAAACTTTGACTAAACTATCGTAGAACTGTTTAGTCTCGGTTTAATTTCTATGAGTTTGTATGGAGGTGCACACTACTCGATTTTTAGTTCTGCAACAATTGAGTTGGCTGTGAAACAATCGACAATCGCACATCTGTTGTGATATAGTTTAGTCAAATACTTAAAAAGTGTCGGAGATACGTTTCTATGGTCGT